CCAGACAGGTCCTTACAATCACCGACCCACCAATTCCCACATCCTACAGTGCTCTACAGCTCTATAAAAATCATTTAGCTACATCCGTGTTTACATCCTTCGTGACAATATTGTAGCACAGACTGTAGCGCAGTACTGTGACGTGGGCGCTTTTGTCCGTGGCGTCTTGAAGTACCTCCTTCAACCGCGTTCAAGACACTTCTCATCAGCCTCTCAGACACCCGCGATTGAGATCTCTGGAGACAAAGCCGAATCCGAAGAGCTGGATTTATTCTCTTTCATCTCATGCCACGAACTGACAATTGGCAGCAAGCTTGACGAGAGATGGCAAGCAAGGGAAAAGCTCGGCCTGATCCGAAGGACTTCCAGTTCAGCAAGCAAGAGAAGGCAACGCTTGTCAAGCTGCCTGGCAGCATCAACGGGTGAGCAAAGGGTGGCTCACATGCCTCTCACATCTATCATACAGGATAGACTGCCTTTTGGACTACTAATTAGCTTGTCGCACCACGAGCTATTATTCGCATAAGGAGCTGCACTGTGCTGGCACTTGTTCGTTGTATCTGTGTAGCTGCATTCAGCTGTGTCTCTTCAGCTGGTACTTCATACAGTATTTGTCAATGTCAGATACTGACTAGCTCAATGCAGCTCACCAGGGTTGGTCAGTCTCTTACCCGATTGCAGCAATGACTTCATTCAAAAGACCTGAAACAAGTGCACCATGTATATGCTGGGCCACTGCTCCTCAAGTGGCCACTATATCCAAGAGGAATCTCAAACAGACGTCAATCTCAGTCAGCTAAATATGGATCTCTTGCCCCACTGCAGCATTGACTTTATTCTAGAAGACCTGACAGACTGCAAAGTGTATCTGCTGGACCATTCCTCCCAAGTCCAGATCGACAACTGCACCCGCTGCGAGATTCTCATCGGCCCAGTCGACGGTCCCGCCTTTTTCCGAGACTGCCGCGATTGCAAAGTGGCTGTTGCATGGTGAGCACTTGTACCCCGCTGCTTCCAGAACCTCAAGTACTACCATTGTCGCAACCTGAAACTTTTCAATCGAAGTCTGAGGACTTTAGACAGGGTCATAAGGTCAATAAGCCACCAGTGTCTCTACGTGCGGCAAACAGACAACAGATCGAAGAAAGAACGACAGGTCTATCACGAGAATGGTACCAAGACAGAAAATGGACAGAATCTATCAAGTCACCTCGACCTTGTCGGCTACCGGGCCTTCGACAAACTTCAACCAACTTGAAAAGCACCTGATTCGAAACGATTCTCCTTCAGGTCACGAAGAAATCACAGTCCTGCGTATCTTGGTTGATGAGCTCCGAATGGCAGCCAGGGTCTAGCTGGTGTCAACTATGCCTCTTGTTCACACCGAGTCGTTTTTTGTCAGACTCAGCCGCCGTGACTCCATATTTTGGATTTTACATCACCTGAGCCTAATTAAGGCTGAGCTTGGCTCATCGAACGACCCAAGTTCCCCAGTGGTCCAGATCAGGATTGTTATCAAGCCGCCAGTTTTGAACCAAGGATGAGTGTCAGGTCAGCTTCAGCGGAAGTTGTATGCGTGTCGTCCGCTCCTCTGCATATCTGCAAGCGAGAGGCTTCAACAACTGGACGATAATCTAAGGGCGATAACAGAACTGCTGACATCAGCCACTCCTTCTTTGCAGCCGACAGCTGCGCACCCGCGACTGCCACAACATCGATGTCAGTCTCCACGTTGCAACGGACCCCATCATCGAATCGTCTTCCGGTGTCCGGTTCTGCCCATGGTAAGGGGCCGACTCCAGTTTGATAGGATCGAAACGTAAAGCCGTTCTCTGGGTTCCTTTCTTTGATCGGGTCGTTTGCAAGCAACAAATAATGGGATATCGAACCAGCTTGAAAAGACCGTCGGGGGTGGCTTGTACATAGGTTGTCCGTTTACCACCGTTGTCAAAGTCAGATGTTATAGCAAAAGGTATGCTGTTGTAAAGAAGCTGGAGGTTGTGGGTATAACGTCGCTGACATTGCCACGTTGCCTATCAAGTTGCTGATCGGATGCCCCGTGTACCGTTTCGATGATCTCGTAACCTCAGGTAAAGCTCTAAAACGAGTTTGTGCCGCTTACGTCCCTTCTAATGTGCTCGGAAAGCCTCTGGTCCATTTGAGGGACTGCAGCACAGACGTTTGAGCTAGGTAAACCTTGTCACAATCAATCTTCCCGTGACCAGTGAAACGATCTACGAACCGTCTTTCTATTCTGCAGGCTGCCTTCGTACCCAGAGGCGGAGTCTCAGTTCAAAGCAGCGAACCTCCCCCCGGGGCAAAATAAGTGGGAGGCAGTGTACGACTTCACTCCTCCAGTGGCCGGGGAAGCGCCTCACTGGTCTGTCCTTCCGGAAGCAGAGCGCCCGGTGAGTGTCTCCCGGCCGATGTCTCAGATTTTGCGGATTTTGCGAAGTTCTGGTCGGGTCAGATCCCTGGCTTAGAGACGGTCTTGATCTGGAAGTGAACCGCTCAGTCAGACAGAGTCCGTCCGCGTTCAAGAGGAACGGGCGGCGAGATTCCAAAATAAGTACACGGGTTAGGTCGCACGTTCTGGGGTGAATGCCCGAGAACTCCTTCGGTTCAGATTCTGGATGCTAGCAGTCATGACAAGCCATTCGCTACCCCCTTGTCGATTGAAATTACGAAGCCGGAAGTTTGATACTTGACGTATGGAATTTTCCTCGAAGCGAATACTTATTGAAATGCTGCTGACACACGGAACGGAACTTCTCAATGCTTTATTGTCTCGGATCGAGCACTCCCGTCGTGTTCTTCTCGATTTGTTCAAGAATTCTGGATTTCGACGCTTACTTCTTCGCCTCTTTATAAGGCACGCGGAAGAGATAAGGCCTGTGATTATCATTATGTTAATCTGCTTCTCTGCGAGTCCGTTGATAAGGGACTAAAACGAGCGAGGCCCCCTCTTCTTCGATAAGCAAGCAGGGAAAAGCACCAAGCGTTTGTTTCCAAAGGGGTCGTCAGAACGCTCTGCAGAGAGACAAGAGAACCTTTAAACCTTTAACATAGTCTGAGAATCTGTTGTTCCTCTTTTTATGCAGGACTGGACAGTACTGGCTTCCTCGGTCATCAACCAAGTCGGCGGCGGGGAGTGCGGAGATGCGGTGCCTTCTGAAACGGAGGCTGCGACGAACAACTCCAAAGGGAACGCGTCCGAGGCACCTAGTGACGCGTCCCTCCAGCCAATAGGCAGGGGACACGTGTTGTTAACTCCTCAACTGGATCCGACCTCGTCGGAGCTAGGAGAAGTGAGTAGTGACGCTGGGCCTCGGGTGCAGAATGCGGTTTCTAATAAAGTCGTCAAAACGGATTCCCCGGAGGTGTCAGGATCAGGTAGAGCGGAGTCGAACGGAAAAAGCGGCGCTCCGGCGGAGCCGCAAAGAGCGGAATCGGAACCTCCGATTGAGGACCGTGCGCGTAAAGAGTCGAGTGTTGTAGGTCCAAAATCTGATCAAGCCTCCGCTTCCAAAAAGATCTTGGCTGTCGAAGAAGAAACACCTGTCGCCAAAGAGAGGTAAGGCATAAGAGCTCGAAGCACGGTTCGTTAGCTTGAGGCAGAGACGAAGTCAGAGATGTCGAGTAGCTTTCCGTTGCTTTCGGTCGATAAGTCCTTCGATTGTATATCTGCAGGTTATCTGACCGGTTTTCTTGACCCTTTTTCTGCCCTCGTTTCGGCCTAGATTTTGACCTGGTTTCGTATATGTAGAAGACTCCTTGATCAGTCATCAACCCAATTCTTAGCTGATGCTTAACCTCTCTTTGTTGACCTTGTTCCTGAGTTAATTCAGTAAGCTATCTTGTTGCCAACGAGAATTCTCACCTTTGTGGTAAGTAAACCTGCCATCCCACTCGTTTCTTCGGATGAGAAGAAGTCTGTATATTTGCACCCGCTCACATCTTGCCTCAGCTGCATTTGGACGTCTCTCAAGGCCGTTCCAGTTCTGCTCTGACCTCGGTAGAGAGGCATACTGCCTCTGACTCTTCTTTCGACCCGACCATGTAGATTGTCCCTCTTACGTCCGTTAAAAACCCCACCGTTTCCATTGAGCGACACTGCGAAGAGCGCTCCCATTTCGACCAGACCTTTGAGTCGGTTCCTCGCTCAGGTGTCAAAACGCAGTCCCGGTGCCCCTTTGCAGTGTGACGGGGGCTGATGAGAGCGCCTCTGATTCCGTGCGGCCAAAGCTAGGGATGTTCGGATTCGTCGCCCGAAGTGTACGACGCTTTTTCTCAAGGTACGGAAAGGCCTAACCGAGAGCCAGGCACGCCATCGCTGAGCGAAAGGTCTAAGTTGCCAACTTAGACCTTTAATTATGTGGCACGAATCAGGTTGATCTATGGATTGCTGATCGGCAAGCATTCCTCTGTTCGCACCACTTTTGATCCAACATGGCATAGGCTGGAGTACTCTGGGGTTCGAGAGTTATCTTTTCTTGGCCTGTTCGAGAATCTGTCACTTGAAGGGTCGCTGGAGACGGGCTCTCGTGACTGTCTAAAGATCTTGGTAAGCCAGATTACACTTGCTATTTGTATCTTGCGGGTGCGCTGCCCGCACATCACTACGCAACTTGTTGAACCTGCTGCCGCCGAATTCTACGGTGAATCCGAAGCCCTGTCCAAGGCTATGCTCTTTAGCCACGCTTCAAAGACCGTGGTGCAGTCTGCTTTTAGCAGCTTTGGGCAATTGTCTGACTGATGTCATTCCTTGTTTTCTTGGTGATTCAGGCTTGCAACTCCCTGGCGTACCACGAGCCCGCCGAACAATAGCTCGCTTGTATTTTCTGGATAAGTTAGTAGTTGCGCCTGACAGTCCGTTGTCCTGACAAGCTGAAAGCTTGCTAGCATTTAAAAAGTGGTTGGACTGATGAGACGGTGGTATCGCGTAACTTGATGGACAGTCACGACCTGAAATATAGTCAACAGCAAGGCCTACAAAGGTAGTGGACATAATCGCTGATACTGCCATCGCTAGATTCAACGATACAAGGATCGAGGCACCGTACCGAGGCCTACCATGGTGCTACTAGCACCATCAAAGGTTTAAGGGAGGTCGGTAGCATTCAAGATAATGTGAGGCAGTTGTCGCAACCGTTCAATGGTGGCACATGCACAGTCAGATGCATCAACATCTAATGATTGAAGCCTGCAGTCGATATACACGTCTTCCAAATGATCTCTTGTATGACCCCGGTTCGGCCGGACAACGCGTTTCCTTATTGCAGATGAGCTAGTCGAGGCTCTAGCTGTGCAGGACCGCCTGTGGAACTTGAACGAGTGTGCCACCAACTTGACATGTTCTCAACGTACATGTTCCGACTCAACAAGGATGTTTGCAGAAATAACTCACATGTTGAGAGATGCTATATTGGTTACATGTAGAAAGGCTTTTGATCTGGACGTATCATTAGTATGTACTCATGAATCGCTCCGCTGAGTCCGCTCTACACTTGAAAGAAACCGTCTTAGTACTATATACCGTACGGCGTATACCGTACCTTTGTATCTACCTGCCTGAGCCTGCTGTCCTACGAACCGCCAGTCCGACACCGCCGTGCGTATGGACACTTCTCTTCTCTTACTAGTACCTATGCCCGCATGCGAATCAGA